ACACGCCGGTCTCTGTCACAACTGCTGGCCATTGTGTGCGACAGGGCCACGGGCATGCCTGAGCGGATGGGTGTGGCCGGGCGCCAAACAGCTTTATACAAAATGTCCAGGCCAGCTGTGTCCCGTGGGTCACGGCCGTTTGCCGACACTGACTCCAGGGCACACCAGAGTGTCATTCCTGGCTTTCTTGGCATGGCAGGCACTTGTCATAGAAGGATGTTCCCAACCCAGGTTTTTACTTACCAGTACTGGTTCATGAGCACTCAGAAGGCTTTCATTTTAAGAAAAAAACGGGGTTGCTTGGTATTCTAAGAGGGCCTGCATTTTCTCCTGAGCGATAAAGAATTCCCTCTTTACGGACTGTCCTGGAGAACCAGGCCATGTTACAGAGACCAAAAAACAGGGGAATGTGTTCCCACCCCCACCCAGCATAACCCATGGAAGAAACCAGTCATTTACCTCAGTAGGCTGAAGGCCTGTCCATCTGTGGTCCTGTCCACAAAGCTCAAAGCGTTGGCTCCCCACAGTCCCTGGTGATGCTAATGGCTTCTAATGGCATTTCCAGGTCACAAAGGTTGAGTCTGAAAATGGTGCCAGCTGGAAAGAAACGGGAGAAAAGTTTGCATTAGTTTTGACGTTTAGTTCATTCACTGCCTTTTGAAGATGACGCAAGATAATTTAAAAAGGCATTCACCCATTTCTCCACTTACCCAATGATTTATACTTCAAAAAAATATATATATATATTTTTTAAAGTTTTTTTCCACTGGGGAACTGGGGGATGGGAACAGCGCTGGGGAATTGGGGGAAGGGGAACAGACAAGTTGCTGTCATTTTTTTTCTTCATTCTAGTTGTGGAGGATGTTGCTTCACTGGCCCAAGAAGGCACCATCATTGTGCTCTTCCTGGGTGAGGCAGATCAGTCGCCGGCTTCTGGACAGTGGCTGCTGGCCGCTCACGCTGGCTGCCGGCCACACATGGGCTACGTGGCAACCCACTGCCACAGGGGCTGCAGCCTACGCAGTCGCCGGCGACTCAGGCAGCCCAGCTCCAGGTCGAGCTGTTTTTCAGCATCTTAGCTGTGGAGGGCAGTGTCACTGGCCCTCATATGTGGGATCCGAACTGGGATCCTCTGATGTCCCAAGCCAGCTCTTAACCAACGCACCACTCGGCCGGCCCTCAAATGTTTTTTTTAAATTATTATTTTTTATTGTGAAATACACATTTTTTAGAATTAGTTTCAGCTGTCCAACACAGTTCAATAGTTATACTTTTTACCCCTCGAGGTGACAAACCCCCTCCCCCAATCCGCCGCCCCACTTCCCCACCCAATATCATACATATCTATTACAATTCCCTTGACTCCACTCCCACACTATACTCCATGTTCCGTGACTATATATATATATATATTCACTTATAGTTGACATACAATATTATACAACATCAGCTTCAGGTGTACAGTGCAGTGATCAAGCCTCCACCCCATCCATGATGCAGTCTCCCTAGCAAGACATGTGACCATCCGACACCCTACAAAATATTTACAACATTATTAATTATATTCCTCAAACTGTCTTTCATGTCCCTGTGGCAATATTGTAGTTACGTATTTATGCTGTCTAATCCCTTCCCCTTCTCCCTCGTCCCCACCCCCTTCCCAACTAGCAACCCTCAGTTGTTCCTCTATATCTCTGAGACCACTTCTGTTTACTTTGCTCGTTCATTCAGTTTTTAGATTCCACTATACTTCAAATACTTTTTTTTAAATAAACACCTATTCTGTCCCATGCAAAGAGCCAAGTGCCACGTGCAGAAAGGTGAGTAAATCATAATGCGTGCCCTCAAGATGCTCAGCCTGGTGAAGAAAACAAACAAAGAGACAAATCCTTCAGGGCAGGTGTGACACAAGGACGCGAGTGATATTGGGGACAACTGAGCAAAAAAAAATGACCAACTCAGTCTGAAGGAAGAATTTGATTAAGAGGTGATATTTTTAGCTGCTTCTTGATCAAGGTACCAGTGAGATGCTGTTTGGCAAAAAGAAAAAGCTCAGGGAAGAGTGTCTCTAAGGACAAGGATAAAGAAAGAAGTGAGATCAGGGTTAGGATCAATCAGGCTGAGGCAGGACAGGAAATGGCTTTGGAAGACCGTATCTGGGAATAATAACAGGCTCCCTGCTGAGCTCTTACTGTGTCCCAAACACTGACAGGTGTGCAGACTACATGTTTTCTCATCTGATCGTCTCACAGAATCTCCAAGGAGGTCACACTGATTGCTCCCATATTACGGATGGGCAGCTGAGGCTTGGAGAGTTTATGTGAGTCAACTTGCCCGAAGATGACAAACGGCAGTAAGTGGGTGGGGAACAGACCATAACAGGACACCCCCATTCTGTCTGGTTCCAAGCCTTCATCTTAGCCGCTGGGACGGAAGATCCCCGATTTGCTCGTGCCACCTTCCATGCACGTCCTTGGGCGGTGGAATTGATTTCTCCACCCCTTGAATCTGAACGTGGCCACATAACTTGCTTTGGCCAACGGGCCGATAACAAATGTGACCAAATAAAGGCTTAAAAAGTGCTCGTCCACAGAATGTCCTCTCTCGCTCGCTTGCTGCTTCTGGGAAAGAATCATTCGGTAGCCACTTAACATGCCTGAGTTAGCACCCTGGAGGGAGAGAAAGTCCATGCAGAGGCCCCAGGCGTTCCCGCCACCCCAGCGGAACCCTCATGCTTGTCTGTGAAGCCCCAGCCACACTGCCTAGACCAAAAGAAATGCCCAGTCCCCCCAGAGAATCAGGAAAAAGAACAAATGTTTGTTGTCTGGAGCTGTTTGTTATGCGGAGAAAGCTAACGAATACAATCATTGTTATCTTTACACGGCTGACAATGGTACAACACGATACACTTGCACATTAGAGGGAGAGGTCAGCCCGTGTTGGAGATGCTCAACAGCTGATGACGACCAGAACGGAGGCAGGACTGCGGGTAAAGGGAGAGGCGAGAGATGCAAGAGCTATTTGGGATGTAAAATCAACAGGATTTAGTGCCAGACTGACCCCAGATTTGTCTAAAGTGTCTGGTGTTGACTATAAACAGATTCTATTTGGAGCTCAGGAATGGGGTGGGGGTGGGGTTAACATGGAAGATACACAAAGCGGCCAGAAGCTGAGACGTTAGGGCTCAGTGTCCCAGGGAAGGAAGCTGTGGGAATGATGCTTTCTTTTCAGAAGAATGAAGGTGGGGTGCTCACCGTCCCCGCCTGCTAGCCTGGCTTACCATTGCCACCCCTCCAATGCCAGCCAGCCAGCTCCCCGCCATCCCCGCTCTTAGCAGCAGCCAGAGGGATCCTTGTAAACTGTAACCCAGGCCTCCTCTGCTCCATCACCACCTCACACCATCCCCTCCCCGGCTCCCCCAGTACCTTCGACTCATTCTTCGGATTTCGGCATCAATGGCCCTTCCCAGAGACATCTTTGCTGACCACCCAGACAAGGCTAGCTAGGCACGGCCACTAAACGTTCCCAGTCCTCCCTGTGCATGCCCTAGCCTGATAACTCCATGGGGACAAGGGTGTAGCCGTCCTACTCACCACCGCCCAGCACAACGCTTGCCACCTGGGAGAAAGTCAATCACTATTTCCCAAGTGAGAGAATGAACAAAACTACTCAGATGTCACACCTCCAAGATGTTTCCTCTGACACACCAATGTCCACACTGCAAGCTGCGTTAGGGAACTTAAGGCTGGGGTACTTACAGCTTCCTTTATTCATTGGCTTATCTTCCTTCATTTGTTTACTCCTTCATTCTTTCATTTAACAAGAATGTACTAGGCATCAGGGGTTCTCTTGATCCGATTATCTGTAGCTCTTACTAGACTGAGCCTCTGAGGGGTGAGGGGTGGGGGCAGCATTTTCCTTATCACGAGATTTCCCATCCCAACCCCCTGTGGACAGTGTATGGGTATAGGAGGCACTCAGTCATGACTCCTGAATGAATGAATGAATGAATGAAGAAGCAGATGAATTGCTGAGTATCACTGGGATGTGGCTGATTTAGCAGGAGCCTGTAGCTGAGTG